TGGTTGAAATATATTGTTTCTCCTGCAGTATTATTGAATGAGATCCTTCTTACAATTTCATTGAGCTACAAAAATACAAAATCACACATATAAGAAAACAAAAATAGTAAATGAAGAGAAGAACTAAACATTTCATCATGGTCTACAAAATGGTGAAGATTTAACTCCACTTCAGAAATATGGGGAAAAAACTTTTTCACATTTCGCTTATCTCTTAATAAAGAACACAAACATTGTCTACCATACTGTTAAAAAATTTAAAATCTACAGACTTACTTGAGCTGATATTTGCAGCCACAAATAAGGGATCCAACAGTAGATCAGTTTGTATGAGCCTATTTGGACAAAGAGGGTACAAGATGGCTCAAGCTGTTTGCAGTTGCTCTTCACAAAGAAACAACAAAATAACAATGTCTTGGACTTCTGATTGGGATTTTGCAGTGATGCAGACACAGGAAGACGGGGCTCCGTCTTTCACATCTGGTTTCACCCTGCTGGGGGACCATGGAAAGGGTTGAAAGTTGCCCCATAGAGGCAGCAAACAAGGAGGGGACTCTCATTGATTTCAGGAGGGTGGAAGCCCCCCATTTGAACTGAGGAAGCCTTCCAAACCGGCAGAGGAAAGACTGACTGCATTCGTGTAGCCAGCCCTAAGCTGCGGACAAAAAAAGTCAACCAGCACTATCAAGCAACTTTACAGCAATGTGGATGAAACTGGGCGAATCCTGATCCTTTCTTCATGATTTTAAGACCTCTTCCTGAAAATCTGACCAAATTATTCCCTCCCCCCCATGAAAGAGGGAAAGGGAATTTCTGCCCCACTCCTTCGGAAAAGAAAAGCAGCAAATTAATACTTGGGGACACTGGCGAAGCCTATAATACTTATTTGTAATTAAAATATACTTACAGTTTGAAAATGTGGGGACCAAAAGTGTTTTTAAGACCTTTTTATTTTATTTTTTTCTAAAGAAAAAGACTTGAAAAGTTTAACAATATAAGTTTTGGATCTAAAAACGGGAAAGTGGTGTTGATGACATCTAGTGGTGAATTATGGCACTACAAATTATTTATGCCTAAAAGAAGCTTGGCTTGAAACCCAGAACTAGATAAGATTTTGGCTGGCCTTGGAACTATTTTATTATTGAGAATTACAGTTGAGGGGAAAAAAGGAACAGGCTTGGGGTCTGCTTATCTATGTGGCAGAGATGATAAATAGTTTAAATTTGGCCTGTCTGAGTTTTGAACATAAATAAACTTTCAGAATTGCATGGTGGATTTTTTTTTTTTTGGAACACTTTGGATTATAAATCTTGATTGTTAAACAACCCTCAAAGATTCTTCTCTCTCCCTGGACAGAAAGGATATATTTTTATTGGACAAAAAAATTGAACTCTACTTATATCTGCTTAGGGGAGATTCAGGAATGGACAGTCGGTTGGATAAATCTATAAAGGCTACTTATAAAAACAAAACAAAATAAAATAAAATGGATGTTTCATACTCAGCCTTAAATAGTAAAACATCATCTTTAACATCTGTTCCCAGCAGCCTTAACTTGCTATATCATCAAACAAATGAAATACAGAAAGAAATTCTTTCCATGCTGAGATTAATACAAAAAACAATTATTCTAGCTTGTGAGCAGATTATTAATAACACAAAGGAGATAAAAGAACAATTTTCTAATTCAAATCTATAAACTCAGAAGACAACTACAGATAAGAAACCAGCAACCCAGAAAATAGAAAGAACACATCAATGCAAACAAACATTGATGATCTAAAGAAGGAAATAAATGACCAGACCCAGATAAATGAAAACTCAGAAAATATAACAATAATATTGGATATGGAAAAGACATTTTATAAATCAAGGTTTCAGAACATACTGGATGACAAGGAAGGAGAGCTGATGGAATGGAAGATAAAGTCATTATTAGAACTGTGGGGTATCAGAGAAGGAGGGAGGTGGTTTAATGAATATCAATGGGCTAGCTCTTCCAAAAACATTTTAACCAAATTGTTTTACTTGTTCCAAATAACATATACAAAATTGAATTATTTGATGATCCAGTTAGTTGATGGAAAGTTAGTTGGCAAAGAAAGAAAGCTAGAGTAAGATTGAAAGAAATAGAAGCTTTGACTTAATAGAGGGGATAATATACTATTGAGGTTTGAATATACCGTAGTTAAGAATAAATAGTTAGAAATAGAAGCATTTTTATAACTAGATATCTAGGATTTGTAACCAGAATATTATATCTTTGTATGAAAAGGGAAATAAGAATATGTTAAGAACTTTGAATAAGGGATTATTGATTAGAGGTTTGAATATGATTAAGATTACATTGTTAGAAATAGAAGCATTTTTATAATTAGCTCGGATTTGTAATCAGAATATTATATTTTGCTAGGAAAAGGGAAATAAGAATATGTTAAGAATTTTGAATAAGGGATCTTTTGGTTGCCCAAATACAACTTGTTTTGAAATTATAAATGATTGGGACACTTTGAACATGGATGGGAAATTAAAATTGAAAATAAAGCAAAAATAGGATATGGATTTAATAAGTGGAAATTGAATGCAAATGCAATTAATATATGATTTGGTTAGGAAAGAGATTCTAAACTGATATTATTGATATTATTAGAAAAATGTAACAAATGTTGATATGTAATTGTATGTTTACTAACAATAATAAGAACTGCATTTTCTTAATGTGGAAAAATTATTATTACCAGAAGAAGTGACGATATACTGGTGGGTATAACATTGGACCTAGTTGGAAAAACTTATATGTACCACTGAATTTTTAATAGACTCAGTCATCACATTGTCTATTGAGCACTTGTTTGTGAAAATAGAAAATTAATAAAACATTTATAAAAAAAAATAACAATGCCTTGAGGGGAGGGAATCAGGAGAAA